AAGAAGAAGAGAGAGAGAGAGAGAGAGAGAGAGAGAGAGAGGGAGGGGAAGGAAGGGAGGGAGGAAGGGAATGAAATACCGATTTGCTTCAAGTTGTTTTATCGCTGTTTCGAGAAAAGAGATGCATCACCATGTATTGTCTGCAACTTTTCCATTTATTGCAAGCTTTGTACGTTAAATCATATATACTACTTGTCAAAAGTCTGAGCACGCACAATTTCGTCGTTTTCAATTGCAGTCATCATACGATCTGTTTAGAGCTATGATTCAACAATCAAATTGACTATAATCATATCTCAGTGATTAGATATTTAATATTTCGAAAAGATACATCGAAGATATGATTATATAAAAAAAAATTACTTCACAATAAATCTATCAATGATTTAATATTTTACACTTCTTTTAAGAACCTTTAATCGAATTTGAGTTCATGACACATATTCAGTTTAATCGATCTTGAATCGATTTCAAAGCCAGACAAAAACGGTGCATCTCTTTCAGTTAAATTAAAAGTTAAGAACAAATAAGCTTTACCAAAAATATTTTATTATTATCACACAAAAAAATATACCTATATAATTCATATTTTCTTATATTTTTTGTGTTACATCAATAAAATCTTTTTGAAAGCTTATTTCTGTTATTTTTAATTTAACCGGAAAAGGTATAGTGCATGCTCAAACTTTTGCCAAGTAATATAGTATATATTTTTCTCTCATATTTACTTTGACTCGACGCAAATGCAATTACATCGAATCCTTCGAACGCGCAAACGAGATCGTCCAAGCTTTTATTTTTTTTTTTTTGTTGACGCGCGTGAGAGAGACCTTTCCTCGATATATTTTGACTCGCTTCTCTCACACATTTCCTTGAACACACGGGAGTAATTCGCAGAATATTTTCTTATCTCATCTCTTGCTTATCGCATCTCTTGTTGATAGATTGCGAAGTGCAGTTAGGATATCTCGCGCTTCAATCATTTGTCAAAGCAACATTAATTTCAACGAACAGCTACCTAATGACGTTTATTATGTGATTAATCAGTTGTAATTTAGGGTCATTTTTTTCAACACTATCGCGGAAACAAATTAATATTGGTATAGTATGTCAATTGCATGCGTTTGCAGCTCGGAGTTATCAGGAATTATTACACAAATGATCGTGATTTACGTCACGTATGCACTTGCCGAATCGGGAAAAAAAAAAAAAAACAGTTATCCGTTCCAGTTACATTTATCCGAAATTGATAAAATTAATGTTTTAATGTTTTTCCAATTTTTTGATATCAAAATTATCCGATTTAATTGTCTTGAATAGTTCGTAAAATAATTTCTTACTTCTAGTAGTATAATTCAACAGCTGTAGTGAAGAAATAAAAAGAAGAATAAAGCAGAAGAAAGAAAGAAAGTGCAGAAGAAGAGCAATAAGGTAAAAAGAAGAAAGAAAGAATTCAGAAGAAAACAATTCCTTTTTACATTACTTCAAGTACTAAATTTTGGAAAAGCTTCCATTTTTACCTATTTATTTCATAAGCAGGAGTTCCTTAAATTTACAAAAATCTGGATGACCTCACCACGTTTGTAAATCTTCGAAAGAGTAATTGATTTCGGGTCAAGTCCCGAGTCAAGGTGCGCACTTTGAAATGATGCACGATGCATCGGGAAGAGGACGCATATGCCATCGTGGCGCACGTGGCGGAGTATTTTTAGCGGCGGTGATTTCTTGCGGTTTGCGGAGTATCGCGAGCGGAGATTCGCCGTACATCTCGGAACAGCCATTCGCTCGAATGGAATTGTCATGCCGATCGCGGCTAACGAATGGTTGTTATGTCGAGGACCGAACCATCGGCGATGTGCTACGCGTCGCGATCGACCTTAATAAAATGGCAGTTATTGTTCCGTATGTACAATACTTCCTTGTGCGTCGCGAGAGATGCCGATTAATTTTTCAATTTCTCGTTTGCTCAGGCAATTTATAATTTATAAGATCAGATTTCAGGATAATCAGATTTCAAGGGAGAGAAGTTATTTATTTATTTGTCGCGCACTTAGATCTGTGTAATTCCAATTTTATTTCTTTACGTAATATGTAAATTCATAAATGGAATTTTATTCTGTATTCTGATATGAATTATAAAAAAATGAATAATTGATACTTATAGTGCGCTAATTATTGCATAATATTTTTGTGTATAATGTATTTTAATTTAACGTTTTAATTCACTTCGATTATAGTATATCTAAAGTAAGATTTAGAAGATTCTATTCGATGACACCCAACTGTTTTATGAGTGATGTGAGTGAGTGTCAATGTGTTAATAACCATTAATTTTCGAATCAATAATTAGTCTACAACGATGCTTGCCATAAGTTAAATAAGATATCATTCTTTAGAAGTTTAAACGCTCTTAAGCTAATCGATTGATTTGCATTACCGTGAAAAAAGACGAACGGGTTTTATTAACAAACTCGATGAGGCTAGGAGAAAAAGAATGGAAATCAAACGTAGAATTAAGAAATTTTTGTGCGAAGAATGTATGCAAAGTTTGCGTTAACTATGCGAGTTTTACGTTTGAATCGGGTCATTTTGATATTTGCGTGTACGTTTAATAGCATGCTCCGTCTCTCGCGTGTTACGTAAACGTTGTATATACCATAAGCGACTCTTTAACAGTAACACTAACAATAAGATGAAATACGTGAAAATGAATACGCGAATTTCGTGGCAACGATTTCAAATTAGTTACGTCACTATGTCTGAATCACTACCTTTGCATAATTAAGATAGTACAAGCAACGTATTTCAATGTCATCGTTAGTATCAGTTATTTATGTAGGTAGAAGAATATTTTATAATGACATTCAACTTACATAATATGTAATAAATAATAACACAAAAATGTAATAAAGTCAATGGATAATTAATAATAAATTTTTTGATAATTTATTTCAAATAATTTACAGTGAGAAGTGATTTAAAAGATCTTTTAAATTACACTTAAACAAGGTATATTAAACAAGGTGTATAAATGAAAGAAAAAAAAATAAATAAATAATAATGAGTTTCAACGATTTATTTCAAATTATAAACGAACTAGAAATGATTTGAAAATTCGAGAGGAAGCTTCGAAGAAAATTAACTAAAGAAAGTAACTAAATAAAGTAACAAAAAAAAAGAAATTAATAAGAAAATAATAAATAAATAACGAGTTTCCGGGATTTATTATTCCCTATTTACAGGAAAGAGTAAATTTTTTCCGAAGAAGATTAAGGAAGACAATTCGCGCTTGTTAGAGACGATGCTCGTTCGCGCACGGCGATATCGCTTTCTTGCTTCGCGGACAGGTTTCTCCTGACCGGGAATAATAATAACGTCGCCGCAAGAAACACGGCGATTTGCCGAACGATGAAAAGTGAAAGAGACACCGCCAGTCGTTGCACTCGCCCCGCTGCAACGCGCGAGGCTGCCCCGAAGCGGGCGGGCGGGCGGGTATTAAAGCCGGCGGGTCGTGTCGCCGTCGCGAAATTAGCGGCGCTATTTTCGAGCGGCGTTATCCTCCGTGAATATTTCCGGCACGTGCGATGCAGGCGGTAATAAAGAGGCTGCCTTCGTAAGGCTTTACGATCGAAATGACGACGGAAGTCCTAACGTAAGTCCTGTCCGGAGTTGGTCCGAGAGGTAACGTTCGCGGTAAAGCGCGCCTCGCGCCAAAAAACAATCAACGACGCGTTCCGCGTTGTTGAATAAAGTACTAATTGTCGAGAGACCCTTGTCGAGAGATTAATTTGAAACTATTTTCTTTTCCGCTTCTTCTGCTTTCTTCTTCTTCTTCTTCTCGATTGTCTTTAAAGCTCGATCCGCTCTTCCGCTCTTTTTTCCGCCACGAGCGAAGGAAGAAGAGATTATTGCATCTTTCATTCAATTTTATTTTAATTAAAGTCTATCCGATCTATCGCTGGTTCCAGCTGAAATGCTATGTTGTAACTCTTACTCATTTTAATAATTAGAATTTAATTCCGCTTTTTTCGCTGGCCGAAAAAATTATTATATATTTTTTCTCAATTATTTTCATTTAAAGTTCAATTGATAGCGCTTTCTCTCCACAAGCTGAAAGATCATTAATTATCATGTGTAAGGTCGGACAGGACATCCGGCATTACAAGGATTTTATTGTTGAATGTGGAGCATTTACGGAGTTGATAAATGTGTGTTGTAAAAATAGGCGCGCTACCACCGACGGTTGATTATCGCTATTTTATTTAATATTCATGATGTTAATGTGCGCGGGCACGATCGTATAAGGAAATGGAATGATATGCAAATCGCGTTCAAAAACGAAATGAGTATCGACATGTGTTCTACGTGAGTAGATCGTCAAAAGTTTTATTAGTATTCCCCGTGCCGTCCTTGTCTCTCAAATTGCGAGTTATAAAGAAAATTCACACGTGAAAACCATCCTGAGTACAAAAAAGTCTTGCTACATTTCGTTTTTTACGTGGAAACAGTGACCTAAAAGTTGCTTTTTGAAAAAATTTGAGAAATTAAATTTACTTCATAATTAAAAATAATAATGTCAAATTAAAAATTTGAAACGATCTAAAAAATAATTGTAAAGCTATTTTTAAACTTAAATAATGAAGAAGATTTTTAAATCTAACATCTAACTTTCAAATCTAATTTCAAATCTAATTTCTGAACTTCTAACTTCTTTAACAAAATCTTTTCTAAATTATTGTTATATCAATTTCGTATAATCAATATTTTTAAGTATCTCTCTCTCTCTCTCTCTCTCTCTCTCTTTCTTTCCCTCTCTCTTTCTCTTTCTCTCTAATTTTAGTTAACACTTATATAAACGGATTTATTAAATTTAACTAATTTATCAAATTTATTTTATAAATTACGTTATATATTTATATATAACGTTATATATTTATTTATTTATTAATTATTTGTTTCCATTTTCTAAGAATTCTTAATATATTTAAATTGACTTAATCCTATTTAAAAGATATAAGCTTAGACTCTATTATCGTATTACAAATTGTGTTCGATAAAAATATTCCTTTTTAATGAGCTGCTTGATTTTGCAAATTGTCAGAACAACAAACAGTCCTTGTCGCGTTCCCTCGATTTTTAATAGCTGTCAACATAGCATTCGCACGCGATGTCTGCAACTGCAAAGGATGCTGTACCAATGGAAGGTCAAGGCTAGACACAATCAGCACACTACTGCTCTTAACGTGGCATCTCACACACACTTAACTTGTCACACACCGTTCCACCTTGTAGAAACTGAATTGCTTGAGTTATATTAATAAGCGCTCATTGGCCTTAAGAGAAATCGACCAGAGAAAGAGAGAGAAAGAGAAAGAGAGAACAACGTGTGCAAGCCGCATTTTAGACAATTATTATGTAACTCCGCGAATGCGAGAAGTACGTGCGATAAGATTCATCGTGAAGCGACCCTGAAGAAGATCGTTATTTACATAACGACTTTTTTTCGCGATCTTTATCAGTCGCGAATACGTGCGAATCGGTGGACTGCAAGTTGACGGTGAGATTTAAATGAGATTCGCACTGATGGATCTCAACGAGCACGTTGTTTTTTTTTTTTTTTTTTTCTTCGTACGCCTGCCGATTAGTTCAGCGCGAGGTTAAATAGACAATAGAAAAGACCTAAAAGTAATGAGTTACAGCTTTCGCATTTGAAAAACATGTAAAGCCGCGAGGAAATGGCGGAGGCAGCGAGTCAAAATATCGCGATAGCTAAGGTAAAAAAAGTAAACGAAGTGTGGCAAAAAACGAAAATGATTAAGCAAGTTTTTAACTCGAAATATTATAAATTTATCATTGCCTATTTGAACAAATTTCATATTTTATTCAAAATTCTTGTCTCGTGTTAGAAATGTGTATATCGTAGATTTTACGCGAACCGAATTGGATCGAATTGAATCTTATTTTTTTCGAATCCGAATCGACGAATTTTCTTCCAAATCAAATCAAAACGAATTACTCAAATAGAATAAAATCGTCGAAATATAATTTTTAATTGCTTAATTAATATGAATTGAACATGTTGAATTGAACTTAGTACAAATATAACGAAATAATGTATTAAGATGGCTAATGTAAGTAATTTGCATTCGAATTTTTTTTTTATTCGAAATTTTCAAATAATCAGATTCAAACCATTAAGATTTATATTATCGAATTTTGTTTGATTTCGCTTATCTGATTCAAATTCGAAATTTGAGTTTGCATTTGGTTCTATTCAACATCATTTATTTTGAACAATTTTAGATTTCTCAAATAGAACGAAGATCACAAAGGAATCTTTCTCATGTGTGACCTCGTCGAATAAAAGATTTTACATTCTCAAGAGTCTACGTTTAATTATATAATTTAATTATATAATCTTAACAATTTAACAAACTTGTTACGAACTTGTATACGACAGCGATCAAGAACAGAGCCAATTCCGTAATAAAATATTTGGCGTTCCTGCCAAAAGAAGAGGAATAGAAGTGGAACGATAATCCAATTGGCGTGGATTATTGTTCGTCTCTATTCGTCTGTCGAAGAAACGCATTCCAAGGAGAAAACCTTGGGAAAACGCGAACGCGATCTATTGACTCGACCGATTGTCATTTGTCTGTCTACTAAGAATGAATTGGCAAATGATTGGACTATCAAACGAACGAATTTACCCCATTAGCTCCAAACGCCAAAAGCTAATTAAACGGCTCGTAGATTAAAGCGAATATTCGGCTCGATATTCTTGCGAAGAAGAATTATGTACCTATTGAACCTATATAATAACGACGATTCAATTGATTGCATCCAATCCGTTATTAATGCAAACTACCAGGCTCCGAAATGAGGTATTCATCTCCTCAAAAGGATCAAGGAAAAATGTTATTATATCTCACCGTCAGAATAATAATTCAACTAATAATAACGGCGAGGATTTATCCTTGAATCAAAGTCGCCTCGGGAGGAATTACGCAGGAGGATTAAAGTCGAGTTCGCCTCAATTAAAATACAATCTTGACCTTTAGGCCAACATTATATTTCAATATTTTTTTATTAAAAATCCGAATGCCGCGTGGCATTGATGGGACGATAATTCCATCAACGTAGCGTAACCCATTTATTTCCCTGAGTATTCGCTGAGGATTTCGCGTGAATCGAAAGGCCTTGGACATGATCGAGCATTCGACGTTAATAACAATCCTGGGAAGTGTTCCTACGTGAAAATTTCCGACGCGGTCGACGAGACGAGACGCTTACTGTAAGGCGGTCGCTCGGTCTCCCAGATGAGCGTGCCGCGATGAAAGTACACGCGACACCGCTTCTTCTTCACGACGAAGGTGTTGAGCAGCACCGACTTGGAGGCGGCACGCTGATCATCGGCGGGGCCGCCGGGAACGTCCTGCATCATCCTGAGGCCGCTGCATCGACGGGTTTCAGCGAAGCTGACGGCGTGGCCGCGACGTCATCTCCGAGGACGACCGCCGATTGACGCCAGCGACGCGGCGGCGACGAGAATCGGCGGTGACGGTGAGAAGGTCGTCGACGAGGAGGAGGATAAGCCGCGGAAGCCGGGAAGGAGTTGACGACGGCTCTCGTGAATCGACTCGCGATTGATCGAATCGCGAAAACGCTGCGCACTACACCGATCCCAACGTCCCGGTCGGACGCGCGAGCGAGACTGATCGCGAGTCCCGCGAGACCCGACGTGAAATCGGACGGGAGTGCGACGACGCGCTCGGTGCGCGTGCACCCGCCCCGTCCGCGCTGCAATGAGTCACATCTGTCAAAACGTAATGATCCAGATCCGCGCATCCCCGTCCCGATCCATGTTTTCATTCGACTTTTCACAGATGATAGAATTTCGAAATTCTAGCTTTATTCTAACTAAGAAAAAAATGTTTAACTTCTCGACTACTGGTCGAGGCTTACTGGTCGAACGATGAAAGATGATGATAATAAATTTTGGAAGAGAAACGAAAAAGAGATAATAATAATGTCAAAATAAATGTTAAAATAATGAATATTGTGACAATATCGTTTCGTGGAATTTGGAGAGATATGATATTCGTTATCATTTTGTTATAATATATTTTTTTGCCTTTTCATTCTTATTATATTTTATTATATCTTTATTTTTATAATAATTTTATTCTCACAATAATTAATAACTTTTGACAATTTATATTCATTTTGTTAAAATAGTTATAAAAGTTAACAATAATAATTATTAAAAAATATATTTTTTTATTACACTTTCAAAGTTAAAATGAAATTATTGTATCTTTTAAAAACTTGATTTATTCAAATTCTTTTACTTTATATTTCTTGAATATTAGTATCATGACAGATATTCTAAAATCACATATTATATAAAATATAATATATATTATGTACAACTTCTGAATATATAAAATCTCAGGAGAAAAAGATCTTTTAAAATTTAAATGGATAAAAATACTTATAATTTTATAACGTTTGTAGATACATTTGTTTTCTTATCGATTATTATCTGATAATATAAATATCATTATTATTGACAATCGATAAGCGTGCAATATATGACATTTATGATATAATGGTCATTAATTAATGGCAATAGTATAGGATCGACTATTACTTGCAAATCTATTCATTAAGTCTCAATTTTCAATTACTTTTTTTTTTACATATGATATTACAATTAAATGTATGATACTAATTAAGAATCTTCATAAAATTCATTACTTTGTTATAAAATTAATCTTTTTAAACAATTGATTTCTTTTAAATAAAATAGGTACAATGAGAAAAAGTTCTATTTTTTATTAAATACGTTTCAGAATTTGGTTTACGACAATGATTCCACGTTCACAGTTCTGTTGACGTGTCTGAATATGATGCAAATATTTGATCCGCAAACATGATATACTTCGCTCATGCAAAGCTACTTGCGGATTATCTATGATGAATAGAGTCGTAAATTTGCTCGGAGAATGTTCGGACTAGGATTCATAATCGTATGATTGAGAGGAACGGATGTAGACATTCCACCGATATTACTCCATATAGAATAGCGAGGAGTGAACACATTGGAACTCGTGAGGAGTGGATCGTAGCCGCGATTTGCGCGGGAAACGTGAAGGGAGGCGAGTACCGACGCGATCGACTGGGCAGCATTCCAAGACGGTCGTACACCACGTATTTTACATGCCTGGCGACATTATGCCAAGAGTTCCATCAATGTCCAACAGGCACTTGTCGAATCTCCGCAATAATTCTATCCTCTACGTATTAATTTTTATGTGGAAACAAAGATTTTTGTGAGATTTTTATTCATAGATTATGCCGGCTCCATATGCATGCCTTAAAAAATAATCACATATAATAATTATAATAATATATAGCAATTATAATCTTATCATATAATCTTCATTATATATGAAACAATAATTAATACTAATTACATTTGAGAAACAATTCAGAAAGTTTAAAGATATATTTTCCTCTAATTTCTTCTGTTTTATCTTTTTAAAGTGTATACTAAAATTAATATAAAATCTAGACGCAAAGGAGACGTCGTTTGAGAATCACTGTTGATCCACCAGCGCGTTGATTGGTGCTCCGCGATAACGTAGTGACTGAGTCAAATGACACAGTGAGCACGGGGAAAGGACCAATGAGCGACGCGGATTCCCTCACACGATGGACTTCGGTAAATTTCGCTACCGCTGCTTCGGCCGATATCGCTGTGATATTCATAGCACACATATATCGGTAAATTGTAACACTGACTGTTCTATACGATCGCCAATGTGCGAACGTGCGAGCGCGGTTCGTCTATGCTAGATCAATGCGGATTAAATATGAATATCATTCGCGTCCGATGAGCAACGAATAGATACATATGTCATTCGCGCGAAATGCATAAATTCCCAGTAAAATATTTGTGAAAAGAAACAACGTTGCGATGACGAGATCAGCAATCTGCACAGGCGATCATGTAGTTTATGCGATCGTTTAGATACTTAGATTATATTAAGGAAATGATCCTTTTAAAAAGGATCTTGTGCCAAAGAGAGACAGATAAATCATAAAAATAGCTTTCCAGCTTTCTTTAACAAAATAAAATAAAAAAGAACCAAGTTACATTCTAAATCCATCGTACATTTTAAATTATCTAATGCCTTTATCTTCCTAATTTGCCGCGTGCCGAACTGTGTTATTTTCCCTTCGAATACATCATGACTTTAAGATTCGAAGTGCCTCGTTGAGTTGAATTCTTCGAACGAACTCGGCCGGAGTCAAGTGTATAATCCTGGCGACAAAGGAGAAACTTGAACGCGCGAGGACGGTGGGCGGCGCGTGGCGCGATACGCTCCTGTGGGATGACGTCGCGGGCGCGTGCGCGCGTTCGAAATTGACCAATCGGCACGCACAGTCGGCACCGTGGCGGTGGCACCGTGGGGGCTCGCTCGCGCCCTCGGTATCACCGTGCCGGCGTTACCGCGTCCATTTTGTCGACGCATACGGTCCCGGTTAGTCGACGCCGGTGTGGAACAGTATAATTCCCATTTGCTGTGAGTTCGCGCGCGGGAGATCCAGTGGCTGTCCTTCGGCGGCGTTTGCTTTCATCATCGGCACGGAGCGTGAGGCAGTGAGAGCACACCGGTGCGATATTCTGCGTGCGGGCACGTATAAGGAAAAGTGGAAGGAATCGCAGTCCTTTCATTACGTTACACGCGGCGGGCCCGACGAGATCCGTAACGTGCCGGCAAAGGCGTAAAAACCGGCTTGCCTGCTCCTAATCTTCACCTCGCAACGAGTACGCACGGCAAGATGGCGGAGCTGCAGGGCACCCCGGTGGCACAGGACGCCCTGACCGTGGCGCAACTCGAGCTTGAGGGGAATCCGAATGCCTTGGCGCTGCGTAGGCCATTCGATCCGGTGGCGCATGATCTCGACGCGTCCTTCCGCTTGACGCGTTTCGCCGACCTGAAAGGATGAGGGTGCAAAGTCCCTCAGGAAGTTCTTGGTAAACTCCTCGAGGGACTTCAGGCCGACGACGCGTCTGCACAGGACCATGAGCATGCCCACTTTATGCATATGGCAATCCCACGCATTGGTAAGTAAACGAATGAACGGAATTAGCGAACGAGTGATTCCCCTGTTGCGGCGCGCTTGCGAGTAAACATGTTTCATCGTGTAAATCGTTCTTTCGCTCTGTCATATTTTTCTTTCGTCCAATTTTTTTATACATAAAAATGGATATATTTGATCTGATCAGTTGCTTCTGAATTTCCATGCACGAGAAGATTTAGTTTCGCGCTCTCTGTCTTTGTTTCTCTGGAAGTTCCAGATTCGAAATGTAAAACTACAGGCTTATGATTCTTATATGATTCTTTTTTCTGTCCTTTTTTTTTTTCCTTGAATTTACACGGGGCCTGAAAGCGGCGCGAGGCAGCCCTGTCGCAATATGGCAGTTGTGTCGTCTCCCGCCCAATTTCTCCTGTAGCACCGGACGCGCAGTGGTTCTCAATCTCGGCGACAAATTCATAAATTTATGAAATGCGGATTTTATTTAATTATTACAATAAATGCAATAAAAAAGATATAAAATATTGTTCAGTGATTTTATTGCAATTAATAATTTATATTTTCGACTTTTTATTAGCTTTTATTAGCTTTTTATTTATTTTTATTCTTTATTATTTAATTGCAATTCTGTCTGATTTTTAAAATATTTTCTTAAAGCAAATAGATTTTCCAACTGTAGTTATACTAGTTATATCTTTTTTATCAATTTCTTTATTGCTATATTTAGAATTATATTATATTATTATATTATTATATATTTTATTTATATTATTTTTTAAATGCTTTAAATTCAGATCCTAAAATATTTAATAAAAATCTAATTTAGCAATGTTTTATTTTTTAAATTTGTAAAAATTTTTGAATTATATTTAAAAAAATTTTAAATTTTTATATAGAAATGATAATAAACATTGCAATATTGTTTCAGGTATTGGCATGGATTCCTCCGTGACGCCGGTGCGACACGGTGGGCTTAGCCTAGTGCAGACTACAGATTTCTTTTATCCCCTAGTCGATGATCCTTATATGATGGGTAAGAAAATGGAGATGTTAAGTCAAAGATAGCACATGGAATATGAAACCAAATTGATTCAAGTGTTAAACACAAATTTAGATTATATGTCAATCATATGTCAATATTATATTATATTGTTCATCTTCATTGCTGTGAGAGATATCTTCCAGGTAAAATCGCGTGCACCAATGTCCTCAGTGATCTGTATGCAATGGGTGTGACGGACTGTGACAATATGCTAATGCTGCTGGGCGTTAGTACAAAGATGACAGAGAAAGAACGTGACGTTGTGGTGCCATTAATCATGAGAGGTTTCAAGGATTCTGCTCTAGATGCGGGTACTACAGTGACAGGTGGCCAGACAGTTGTAAATCCTTGGTGCACTATTGGTGGAGTTGCAACTACTGTTTGTCAGCCAAATGAGTACATTGTGTATGTAATTGATTACAATTAATCTAGATCGAAATCGCTAAATTTAGTATTAAGTTTATTAAGTTTTTTAATTGGTTATTCTTGAATGTAGACCAGATAATGCTGTGGTAGGGGATGTATTGGTTTTAACAAAACCTCTTGGCACGCAAGTCGCTGTCAACGCACATCAATGGCTTGATCAGCCCGATCGTTGGAACAGAATCAAACTTGTAGTAAGCGAAGAGGATGTGCGAAAGGGTTATCAACGTGCAATGGACAGTATGGCTAGGTTGAATAGAACAGGTACAATCATATATCAATTGAATGCTACAATAAAAATATATAAGTTTCTAATAACTAACAAATGAAACTATAATAAAAATTTACACAAGAAACAAAATAATTTATCTTAACTTTTCAATTTTTATTATAGCTAAATTTTAAATTCAATTTATCAGAATCCGCTTGTGCGACATTATCTAAAACATATCTATTTTTTAATTAATGTAATTATTTATTTTTTTGATACGATAAATTATATATGTATTAGATTGTTAAGTTAAATCGTTCTTCTTAAATCGTATTACGTTAAAAAGAAAAAATAGTCATTAGAAAATATATTAACGTGTGAGTAATTTAATGCTATTTATCTGGAAATGCAAAGTTGCAGTTTTTCAATTTTATTTTATTTTTATTTGTTTGTGATATTTCTCTTACTCATATGCTTACAAAATTATAGATCAATTTCCTGCTGATACAGTAAAGCATCTTATATCCATGAGATGGTTTAAAGAACAGCAGGTAGAGAAAAATAAGAGAATTAATTTACTACTTATTTTTCATAAGTAGTTTTTCGTTCATCTTACACATCTTATATTTATTTTATATTCAAATGCTTTACTCAAAATTAAACAGAATATCTTGTTAAATTAATTAAAATTCGTAATTAAAATTCATTATTTTATTATTAATTCATTATTTTTCGAATTTTTTAGCTGCTAGATTAATGCACAAGTACAATGCGCATGGAGCCACAGATGTAACCGGTTTTGGCCTTCTGGGACACGCTCAGAATTTAGCAAAACATCAGAAGAATGAAGTCTCCTTTGTTATCCATAATCTCCCTGTTATCTCCAAGATGGCTGCAGTGGCAAAAGCGTGTGGGAATATGTTCCAGTTATTGCAGGGTCATTCAGCTGAGACTAGTGGCGGTCTGCTTATTTGCCTTCCTCGAGAACAGGTTAATAAATTGTTCATATCGCACTGTAAAATTTATAGATGTTACGTACACCTTTAAGCGATTGAAAAATATTAATGCGACTCGAGGAATATTCGGGTCCGTTAATGTAAATAATATATTCTAATTACTAATTCTAATTTGAATACGATAATGCTAAGAGCATTCATTTAGCAAAAATATTTTACTTTTGATTTTCGATCTGCATGGTATTTCTTTCATTTATATATCTACAAATTATAGATTGGTTTTCCTGCTGATACAGTAGAGCATCTTATATTCGTAAGATGATCTAAAGAACAGCAGGTAAAGAAATGGAGGGAATTGATTTGCTATTTATATTTTATATATATTTAGCTAATATTCCATTCTACAGTTGTACACTTATATATTTTAATTTGGATGAATGAATTATATTCCAATTTAAGTAAATTATTTCCAAATCAAATAAGTAGAATTAAAATGATATTTATAGTTATTCTTATATTTAAAATCGTTTTAAATAAAATTTTAAATGATCTAGCCAATCTCAATGGTCGCATCTCAAGACCATGCTTAAAACAGTTTCTTAAATAATACATGAATTGACTGAATACTGCTCTTAAAGTGTAATATTGATGCGATTTTTTAAATTGGACTGTATCTTGCAGGCTGCGGCGTATTGTAAAGACATTGAGAAACAAGAAGGATATCAAGCATGGATTATCGGAATTGTTGAGAAAGGTCTTCGCACGGCCAGAATAATTGATAAGCCGCGAGTAATTGAAGTTCCGGCTAAGGAGAAGGACGGTGAGCTCTGGTAAAAAGGGAAAAGAAACTTTGCCCTGTGGGAAGAAGAGATATTTCACATTGATTCCCTTAATTATACATACGTTCATATTTGGAAAAAAAGAACAGCACGCATATACACTCGACAGCGCTTTTTACGTGCACCATGAGCGAAAAGAATTATTTAATTGTATCTGTATCTCTCCCTTTCCATGAAACAAATCGCATTTTCAGTGGTATTAAAATCTCGATTATTAAATCGCAGAACACATAGAAATCAAACTGTTTTACGGGTCATTTAATTTTTAAAAAATGAAGTGACTCTTGTGGTTTAATAATAGATTTGTTAATAGCGAATAGCACATCATATTTTATTCAAAACATCTGTATTTGCAGAAAGAGGTTCTGTTTCCTTGTTTTTCTTTTCATATTGACATTGTAAACCTAACAACAGTTTAAAAGTGAGCCTGTTTAAAGCCGGCTATTAATGCATTCTTGTACCGAGAAAAGTTAAGGAAGTAATAAATTTATATAGTACCTTTAAGATTGAGGTAGCACTAAGTTCTCAGATAAAGAAGCTTCAAAAACCGCACCCGGTTATAAATATATGAACAGCAATGAATATAATATATATATATATTATATATATATATATATATATATATATATATATATATATATATATTGCGAGTGCTCCAGTACTCCCGCACGACACGTACCAATGTACACAGTCGCGCCCATGAAAAAAGAATAAAAAAAGATCGCCTACGGCGACGTGATATTCATATCTAGGAGCGAAAAGAGTGATTTAAAAATCAGAAAATTAAATAACTAAAGACTCTTTGTCGTACAACCGAAAGAAGAAGTTGAAGGTATCTATCCATCCTCTCTTCAACTCCCCCCAAAGAGAAGAGAATCCTCCCCCCCAAAAAAGAGAAAAAAAATGTTATCGATATCTGGAGACGCTTTATCGCCACGTTGCGAGATGGGAGCTTATCGGGTTATCTTCGTTTCGACACACTGACTAATCGATTAAAGGCTGATACGTGTAAGGCTGATACGCCGCTTGTCTTTCGTAAATCAATCTCCTTACAAGAAGATCTCCCGCTGCAATTTTGCGGATCTCCCACCTGCGGATATAATTCGAAGCGAGTAAATGAAGCGTTGAAAATGCTGATGAAAGTGCTATCTGAAAATCGAGGAATATGCTATTTACCGAAGTAATGCAAGTCTACTGTTGAGATGATTCGATCAGCCTCTAGAGAGATTTTTGAAAATATCAAGACCCTCACCTTTGTCTGTTTTAGGTAAACTGTGAACGTTAACTGTGCATCTTTAATTCTTTTAATATATATTCTCTTTTCTATCATGATTATTTCTTATTCTTAAAGTGATGTTAATTTAGCAGATTTCTCATTTCATAATATTCTTTTCTCATATATCATTTATTATCTGCAAATAAAAAACATATATTTTGTTATATTGTTAGAATTAATGACGACGATATTCTGATAGTATAATTAAATTTTGTAGATTAACTTAGATTTCTTTCTACTAATTGTATTTTTTTAGGCAGTGAACTTCTGTCGGTATTTATTAAAAGAACACATATGGCATCATAAAAACATGGAACAGACTTGCTAAGTTTTAAAAATGACAAGAGATATATATTCCCTAAACCCTGTGGCAAATACAGTTTGCCGCAGGAAATCTACACGTTACATGAAGATTCCATTGAAGTCAACAGAGCAGATATATCTTGTATTCCTCATACCAGTGTTGATCAATTGTTCTGTGTACATTGTCCATTTTGCTGCTGATTTGGTAGTGGCTATTCAATACTTCAGGGAGGAAAATCTATTATGGGGAATATGTACCCTTGCTTTTATCTATGCGCCAGCGCTCATGTACTTTATACTAACTGTTTCAAGGCCTGATTGGTGGATGACGGAAGATGACAAGTTGACGAAAGGTGTTCTTAGGTGGTTCGCCATGCAGATGTGCCAAGTCATAGGATTTGTATTTTTTGTCTTATACAGGTATCTTTCATTTTATACAATTATTTATTTTCCATTCTTTTTTTTTATTAAGAAGCTGGTTTTTTCTTTTGTATATCTTTACTCTTTTTTATTTGGTTTATGTGAAAATTCATATAAAAAATGGTCATGGATAAAAGTTAATACATTTTTATAGATACGCAGGACTTATTGTGCTATCTGTGGACGCCATAAATTTAACCGGAGATGAAAGAGTTAAAACATTAAATATCGCTGCGGCGCCTGCAGCCATCGAATTGTACTTTTTCTTGCAGGCATGGTTCCAAGCTGCTCCACAGGCTGTCTTTCAAGCGCATCTGCTCTTTAGAGAAAGTTCTGTGCTTCGCAGTCATCAATCAGGTAAAATAGAAAAATTCATTTTTGTTTTTGTTCATTTTTATATATTGTGTCCATGAAGTTCTATTTATTTGCATCTCCTTGTATAATATTAGCTGAATCGGACGAATCGATATATTCAATAGGGCATTAATCCCTGCTAGATTAATTTTCCAGAATTTTATTTTCTATTTATAAATTGAGTGTAATGTCTTTGTGCCAAATAGCTTTCTCTAAATCTAGATTCGTTTGAGCTTAGCAAATTAAATTTTCAAGTTCCGTAACTTCCTCTAAAATTGCACATGATTTTCTCAAATACTAAGCTAAGATAATCATATTCTCAGAATCGCCCCAATAATTCGCCCGCATTATTAAATTAAACTGTGCTAAAAATTCTCGCAACACTTCCGTCATAAGTATTTAGGAATATAAATTTTATTTATAGAGAAAGAAAACGTTGATTATAAGCAGGATAAAAAAAGATTCGTTGATAGTTTAGTGCGACTTCGTTATTTATTTATTCCTCTTCTTTACTTCTGACGACTCATTGGCAGAGCTCGATGTTCGATATATCGATTCCTGATTCGGCCTAGCTGATACACGGAAAAGCGCGAATGAATAGAACTTCACGGATGCAACAATCAAAAACAACAAGCATATTTTTCTTTAATTTAAAAATTGCATGATTATATTTTGTAATAAATATGTTGTAACTTATTTATTTTGTTTAAATAATGATTTATACGTACTTTTTGCAGTGAAAATACAGGTGCTCTGCATCACTATGTCCATTGTAATACTGGCCATCGAGACAGCTTCCTTTCAGAGATTCGAAAGTCAACGTATAAATGGCAGAAAACTACCCTGGGCGATGTGGCTGAAGAAATATTGTATTGAGGTATTTATCAAACTTATTATTTCTTCAAATCCGAGTTTATAACACTCACAATACAAATAAAAGTAAGTCTTTAAAAGTCAATTTATATCTATTCGATATTACTCAGAACAGTTATACTTTAATAGTGTAACAAATACAATCAATTTGACTAGGAACGAAATAATATCGAGGAAAAGGCGCCACTACAAGCGTTACCTTTACCTGCAAAGGAGCAAGATACAAAGATGACGCTGTCCGAATCGATGTTGCCGGAAAATAAATCAGAGAATATAACAGCAAACTTGATCATCGAAAACGAGCAGCAGCCTCAGATTCAATCGCATGCAACTTTGCTGGATCGTCAAATATCGGTGACTCCGCCCTTACCACCAAAAACGTGCACGTGACGCCGCCACCGACGCCGCTTCGCGGCATCACGACGGTCATGCCACTTCCGGTACCGGACGTGCCGGCACCACCGCGTCCGGATTCTGTTTACAGGGAAGATGAAGCGACGAAAGTAGCGGCGAGTCTCGAGTCAAATCAAAGACTGATAGGCAGCAGCGCGCAAAGCTTGCAAGTTCCTAAACGAAAGTATTCGGAGAAGGGCCTTGAGGAGGATGATCCAGTGGGGAAATTTCTGTCTTTTCTCTGGTGGTTCCTCTTCATCCTAGCACGAGTATTCGCCATTGCTGTAGCCTATGAGTTTTATCCAACTACAGTAGTGACGATTGTGGGTATACATTACGCCATCATGTTGGCTTACCTGTTCTACTACTCCAAATATAAATACGATGTCATCACAATTATCGTCAATCTCTGGCTTGGTTTGGTCTATATATTCAGCTTGATTGAATATCGGATTAAATTTAAATACGCCGACTGGTGGACGTTGCCGTATTACGCATTCGTAATCGTGCAGAACGTAGCGTTGACGCTCACATGGTACTTGAACGCTGACTGGAATGGATTCTGGTACACTTACATATTCAGCGCGATCTTCGGCAGCATGACACTCTGCGTCCTGTCGTCCGCGGTGTACTATGCAATGTTTAAACCAAAGAAATGCAGAGTATATAGCAGCTGACGGTCGCTAGAAAATGCACTGTCCTTCAGATAAATCCAAGATTTCTGAAAATTATACTTTTATTTTTATTTTTACACAGTGTGTAAATATAAAACTGTAAATATGAAGAAATTGACTGAATTCTTCGGAAGAAACAAGTCTTCTACATTGGCGGCTTTCTACTCTCTATTTACATCTTATTGACATTTTTCGAGTTTTGATAAAACTTTAAACTTTCTTGTGTTCAGATATCTCGAGAGTATTTTTACGAAAGAATATTGTTTATTAAACTTGTATATTTATAAGCTATTATATATTACAACTGACTGTAGTTTACGCTAATTCTAGAATATAGAATAATCGGTAGATTTTTAGACACAAACGGTACAATTGCTGTTAGATTGGCACAAAAGACTTGCCAAATATATTTAGATATAAAATTACCCATAGGCCGAATTAATTTAATTAATTGATATGAACTTAGATAAATAATTATGCTAATTAACTGATTAACTAAAATAATTGTCGAAACACTTTTTTTATAAAAAATCGTTTTTTAATATTGAAGAAATTTCTAATTTTATTTAAAAATTTTAATAGGAAATTGACAAACCATTTGTACCAATCTAATACTTTTAGGCAGCATGTTTCATTATTTGACGAATTATTTTACATTATATGAAAATATTTACATTATAAATATTACAATATTATACATTCATATAAAAAAGGAAGTATGATAATATATAATGTACGATTGTATATACTTCTTTGAGATCATCGGAATATTTAAACTTTATCTTCATATGAAAATCTAAAATGATCTCAAGTACACCATAACAAGATGTATCATAAAAAATATGAACATATGTCTTTCCAAAGCTAAAATGTTAACGTTCGCAAAAATTATCACCTATTCATCCACGAATATGCAATCTTTGTATATCAATCTATATACATGTATTATAACTAATTATATAACACTATTGATCATATCACGTCCTCTTTCGTCAAATCAAGCAGAAAATCGTTCTTTCACAATTCATTGGAAAATATATACATTATCGATAAAGGCCGTTTGTACATCTCTCTTTCTCTCATGCATGAATACTCGAATCTCTGTGAAGATTGCCGAGTTGAGCTTCAAATAGAATGTCGTTCAGCAATTTCTCAGCTATAATCCTTTGATCCACTCTCATATTCCTGAGCTTGGCAGCAACATTGCGCCCGATCGCATCGTATTCATCCTCCATCATGAATGAATTATTGTGCGTTATTCTCAGAGATGGATCCACGGACTCCGACTCTTCGGATTCTCGAATCAAGGACATATCGTTCCAATTGGCAGATTGGTGCTCGTAAGGTTCTTCGTTTCCAGCTGTACATTCCTCCTGTATGTAAATGCATCAATTGCATTTAATTCGAACGCATAATGAAATTCTTCAATTCTAAAATTACAATGGATAAGGGAAAGACTAATGA